CCTAGTGATGGGTATTAAAGAGGGCACGTTCTGCATGGAGCACTGGGTATTATATGCAAACAATGAATCATGGAACACTACATCAAAAACTAATGATGTAATGTATGGTGATTAACATAACATAATAAAATAAAATAAAATAAAATTCTAGGCTGACAGGCTTTTTTATCTTTCAGTACATCAAAGGCATGGCTTCATGGTCTTCTTGCTTGTACTGTTTCTGACGAGAAATCTACTGTTATCTTCATCCTTGTTCCTCTGTACATGTCTTTTTTGCTTCTTGCAACTTTTTGAAGTTTCTCTTTATCAATGCTTTTGGGCAATTACTATTATCATATGCCTTGATATCCTTTTCTTCATGTTTCTTGTTCTTCAGGCTCATTGAACTTAAATCTGTAGCTTTATATTCATCATTATTTGTCATGAGGGAACATACTCTGCATGTTTTCAACATTTAAACTTCAAACATTTAAAACATTTGTTTTATTTTTTGCCCAGTATATGGTCTATCCTGGTGAACATTCCATGGGCACTTGAAAAACGTAAGTATCCTATAGTCGCTAGGTGTCAAAGTGCGTGATAATGTTGTTGAGCTCTTTAATGTCTTTACTATTTTTGTTCTAATAATTCTACCAACTACCACAAGAGTAAAACTATGGTTATAGATTTATCTATTTCCCCATTTAGTTCTGTCAGTTTTTATATCATGTATTTTGATGCTCTGCTATTGCACATATTCACAATTATAGCTGTTTTGTCCTCCCAATGAATGAACCCACTTTTCATTATGAATCTTATTTCTTTGTCTCTGATAATACCTCTTTTGAAGTTTATACTATCTGATATTAATATAGCCACTCTAGTTTTCTTATGATTAGTGTTTCTGCATAGTGTGTACAGCAGGGTCTACAGAAAATAGACAGTTGTAGACAGCAGATAATTAGCTCTTGCTTTTTTTTAAAGATTTTATTTATTTATTTGACAGAGAGAGACACAGTGAGAGAGGGAACACAAGCAGGGGGAGTGGGAGAGGGAGAAGCAGGCTCTCTGCTGAGCAGGGAGCCCGATGCGGGGCTCGATCCCAGAACCCTGGGATCATGACCTGAGCCGAAGGCAGATGCTTAACGACTGAGCCACCCAGGCGCCCCAGCTCTTGCTCTTTTAACCAGTCTGAGAATTTATACCTTTAATTAAAATGTTTAGTTCATTTACATGTAATATTATTCTTGATATGGCTGCTTTTAGGATGGCCATTTTGATATTTGTTTTCTTTTCTTTTCTTTTCTTTTTTAAAGATTTTATTTATTTATTTGACAGAGAGGGAACACGAGCAGGGGGAGTGGGAGAGGGAGAAGCAGGCTTCCCGCCGAGCAGGGAGCCCAATGCGGGGCTCGATCCCAGGACCCTGGAATCATGACCTGAGCTGAAGGCAGACACTTAATGACTGAGCCACCCAGGCGCCCCTGTTATTTGTTTTCTATTCATCCTGTTTTCTTTCTCTCTTCTTTTGTCTTCTTTTGAGTTAAACATTTTTTTTAGTATTTCATTTTAATTACTGTATTGAGTTTTTTCCCTCTTCCCAACATTTTATTTTGAAACATTTCAAATGTACCAAAATGTTTTTTGAAGATTTTTTATTTATTATTTGACAGAGACACTAGGGAGGGACACAAGCTAGAGAGGGAACACAAGCAGGGGGAGAGGGAGAAGCAGGCTTCTCGCAGAGCAGGGACCCGATGCGGGGCTTGATCCCAGGCCCCTGGGATCATGACCTGAGCCGAAGGCAGATGCTTAATGACTGAGCCACCCAGGCGCCCCTCAAATGTACCAAAATGTTGAAAAAATTTTTCAGTGAACACCCATATACCCACCATCAACAGTTTCTATATGCATAGAAAAGGAAAGACCTCATTTGGTCCACCTACCCTGTCTCTTGGATTTAAATAGAGTAGAGGTAGGTGCACTAAAAGAATTGCATGAATAGCAATGTAATTCCCAAAATGTGGGGAGTGAGAGTCCCATCCTCACATATATATCAGGCCTTTACTGTGAGAAGGAACTGGACAATCTGGACTGTTGCACAGAGAGTGACCAGGATAAGGCAGTGAGTGGATGCTAGGAGATTATGAGGAAGGAATTGGCTGTGCTGTACCCAAGAAAGAACAGGGGGGAGTTAACAAGAGACATTTATAGGTCATAGCCTTCCAGCCTCAGGAGAGGAAGGGAAGTTGCCTTTGAGAGAGGCCAGGAGTCAGGATTAGACAGACATTCCATGAAAACAAATGTAGCTTCAATAAAAGGAACAACTAACAGGAAAAGCTGCTAAAAATGAGCAACACTTCCTCAGGAGACAGTGAACTCCCCATCACTGAAGGTATGCAAGCATTCACTCATTCAACAAATATTTGTTGACCCCTTGTATGCCAGACACTCAGCTAGGCACTGTGGATAGTGCAGTGATTAAAGTAGATTTCTTGTCCTCATGAGGTGGTAAATATTAAATAATCCCACAAATAAATCTATGACTATCAGTAATGGATCATTCAGTACATCTGCTCTGGCAGGAATTCGAGAACAGGATTAAATGTTTTCTAACTCTGAGACCAAACAGCGTAGAATCACAGGAAGCCCTATATAAGTGACAGCTTCTACAACTATATTATCATTATTACTATTTGTTGTATTATTCATTTGTTTCACATTTCCTGGGTGCCCACTTTTGGCTGTGCAAGGAGGCAAAGCTGCATGAGATGGGTCTTTGTCCTCCCAAGTGGAAGGGACCATCCAGCGCAGTGTGGAAGTGCTGTAATTAGAAACCAGGATCCCAGGCACTGGCAGCCCAGGAAGCAGTTGGGGAGATCCTGGGGTAGGAGTGGGGCTGGGGGAATCTTCTAGAATAAGTCGGGGTGAGCTGGATCTTGAAGGGCAAATGGGAGGAGACTTGAAGGGAGGAAAGTAGGCAAAACTGCTGTGTGTTGATCTCCTCCTTGCCTTCTGCAGACCTCCAGGAAACTAACAATGTGAAGTGCCCCCTCCTCTCTAACCCCCTCCCCATCCCCTCCTCTCCAACACCCATCCCCACCCCCTACCCACTTGGAGGTGGAGAGGTAAGCTCAGCTGGGCCCCTTAGCCAATTAACACTCTTTGCATCTGAAAAAGCTCAAATCAGCTCCTGAGAGGTGTTAGAGATCAGAGTAATTAAGGTCTCTTTCTCATGCAAATCTAAACCAGAAATTGAATGTTTGTCTCCTTGGAAAATTAGGGGCCTAAGTTCTGTAAGGTGGTTGTGAAATTCAGCAGGGGGAGGTGATGGTTTCAAGAACTAGAAGCCAATTTGTTGGGACGCTCTCCAGAAATATTTGATTCAATTAAATAAATGTGTACTCCACATGGCAGAAGTAGTGATATTTTTTAAACGCAAATCAGATCCCATCTCTCCCCTGGTCTCTGATGCACTCACAATAAAAGCCAACGCCCTTAGCAGTCTCAAAGCCCCTGCCTTCCTCCCAACTTCATCTCAGGTCCCTTCATAAAGTGCTTGTCACACTTTGTAATTATTTATTTACTGTTTGGCCTCCCCCACATCATTAATTAAATACATTTCTGTTACCACTCACCCTGGAGCACAATGTATAAAGTTGTCCAACTGAAAAACAGCTCGAATGCAAATCAGCAATGTGCCCTAGAGCCATTGGGAATAGGACTCATATTCAAAACTTCCCTGCCCACGCATGGTATACCCTGGCTGGTGTCAGGTGTAGGGTCACCATCACTGACTTCTAGTTGTGTCTCTGGGTTCACTCTTCTGGAGAACAACTAACTGTTCTCTCTCTGAGATGCCCCAGCTTCCTGAGCACTCTTCACAAATGGCTAATTTTTAAGTTGGACACTCAACAAACATAACTTCCAAATGCACAGAGAATTCCTCCAGCCATAGGAACAAACAGGAACAACATTTTATTTAACTGAGTTGTTTACTGTCTTTCCTGTCTCCCCAGTTGGGATGCAAGCTTTGGGAGGGCAGGGACCCATGTCTATCTGGTCACCACCTATCCACGGCACCTAGAACAGTGCCTGGCACTTAGGTGGACATTCCAGAAATAACAAATATTTTGAATGAATGGACTTTCTGAAACTGCCCACGTACAGGTTTGGTGCCAGCACCATGGGTACAGAGGTGAACAAACCCAGATTCAGCCTTGGAGAGGCTCATAGCCCAGCAGGGGCACCCACAGGACCCAGGATTCATTTGTTTACTCAGCACTTGAGCGCCCCCTACAGTGGAATCAGCCAGTAAGTGCAATGACAGAACATAAGCAAATCCGCCATCTGAGTTTCGGGGGAAGAAAGGAAGTAAGAAATGACCATCTTCCCATTGCGGGCAAATCCCCCAGCAAGAAAGGATCCCAATACCTCATTTAGTCATCAAACATTGTTGGAACCAGGCACTGCTCTAGGCACTAAGCATACATTGATGAATAAAGGCTGTCCTTGACCTCAAGCAAAAATGGGCAAACACAACATCAAAAGAACCCACATCATAACACCATGTCACATGGTAACAATGGACATATAAATGAGTCCAGACCTTTCACAGAAGTAAGAATGATTTATCACAGGGGAGAAGAGAATACAGTGGGTTTCCTTGGAAAAGATAATGCCTGAGGTGGGTTCTGACAGATGAATAGGAGTTTTCTGGGCAGACAATGGAGAGGAGAATGGCATTCCAGGCAGAGGGCACATCCGGTGCAGAGGCATAGAAATGTGAGCTAGCATGATGCATTTGAAGAACTGCTGAAATGTAATGTGAAAAGGGAGATCTGGAGGCACCAAGACAGAAGAAGTAACTGGGTCCAGACACTGGAAGGCTTTGCCTGGACCTTATGCCTCAAGCTATAAGGGACCAGTGCTGGGATTACACACAAGAATGATGAATCAACTTTTGCCACATAATAAACCAGTCCATATCTCAATGGTTTAAGATTGTGTTCATGACTTACGAATCTGGGGTCAACTGGAGTTTGGCTGGTTCTGGCTGGGCTTTGCTGCAGTGGTTTGGCTCTTCATGAGTCTCTTTTCTTCCTCCTGGGACCAGGGGCCGACGTGCATGTGCCTTGATAATGGCAGTGGCAGAGGCACAGAGTACAAAGGGAGACCTGCAGGATGTCTGAAGGCCTGGGCTCAGAAATGGCACATTGCTGCTTCCACCTCATTCTGTTGGCCAAAAGAAGTCCCATGGCCTGGTCCAGATTCAAAGACATGCACCTGCAAAGTCATATGACACAGAACATGAGTAGAAGCAGGACTGAAGAACTGGGTCCATCAATGCACTCTAACACGGGTAATGTGATCGGATCTCTGTGTTAGGTCTCTTGGCCGCAGTGTGGAGGGTGGATTAAAGGGGATAAGGCAGTTTCAGAGATTCAGGCATGAACTAAACGAATGCCCCTGGACCCCACAATTTGTTCTTTCCTCTATTCCACGTACTGGGATTTAGCCAGATCAGGCAAAGGGGGGCTTATCTCTAGTCTTTTGTTCGATTCTAAGAGCTCAGCCTGAGCACTTTGGTGCTTGCAGCAGTGAATAAGGAACCTTTGAAATAAGCAGATAAAGGCTAATATTCAATAAACCAGTGAACAAGGGTTTTCTTTAACTCTCTTGGAAAAGACATCTCTGAGACAAACACAGAGCTGAGCTGCAATATTGGATAAGCCCCACTGATCACAAGAAAACCTAACATAGGTAATTGACTATTGGCAAACGCAACAGAACCAAATAAAGCAAGTAATTAACAATTATTGTGCTGGGAGGTAATGGAACTACAAATCCAGGCTGCCTAGGTGTTTGTCCCAGGCATTGATAAGAACAGAGTGTTTGTTAGTGGGTGAGTAACCCAGGTGTGAAATTCATTTTATTAGACTACATCTAAAAATAGGTTTGAATCAGACAGTGGAAAAGAATAGAATTCATCCCCACTTGCTCACGGGTAATAAACTCAAGGCTCTGGTTTTTGTTTAAAAAGGGGGAACTGAGGTAGATTGTTTGCAAAAATGGTCCCAATTATTTCTCTTCCTGTATCGATGTTGTTTTGCAGATGTGATTTTGCAGCTCTTCCCAAGACCCCTGTCTCTTTCCCCACCTCGGACACCATGACTTACTCTGACCAATAGACCATGGCAGTATTATCCTACTTCCAACCCTAAGCCTCAAGAGGCCTTGTACCCTGCCATTTACTCTCTTGGGACCCTTGTCCCCACCATGTGAACAAGCCCAGGCAAGGCTATTGGAGGGTGAGGTAATGAGTCAACCCAGTTGTCTCAGCAAAGGCCCAAAGCATGTGAGACAGCTCAGCCAAAATCAGCAAAGAGGAATGATTGAGGAGACCTAGAATGGCTGGGGTGACCTTCAGTCTTGGCATCTAGAACCATCTGGGCCCCTCAGGACCACCTAGGCCAGGGATGACAAATACACAACACATAGGCCCCCACCTCCTGTCTGGTGCCCAGGGCAGACATTGCTAATCTATTACCATACACTCTTCAACTGAGCCTAGAAACAACTTCTGAAACCTGCTGGACACAGCACTGTAGGCAATCTCTACCCATCAGCTGCTCATTCCTAATGACTTCCATTACTCCCATTTCACAGAGGAGAAAATTGAGACAGAGGGAGAACAGGGGACTTGTCCATGGAGAGCTTTCCCTATGCCACATGGCCTCCATGTGGTTGTAGAGAACAAACACTTTTATGCCTCAACTGTAATTCAGGGAATGACTCCAGTACATGGGAGGGGGTTTTTACAAGCAGCGGCATTTTTTTCCTGCTTCCAGTTCAAGTTGTTATTTGGCCATGTTTTAAAGAGGTTTTTATTATCATAATAAAAGAACATAAGCAGTAGATTGTGCCCACTGCACTTAATAAAACCCTAAGGAATTCATTCATTCACCCATGGGCCAGGCAAGATGCTGGGCATTGAGTTTATGGGGACACAAAGGACATCCCAGGCACCCAGGGAGCTGAAATGCCCAACTCTGATATTCTGCTTAGTTGGGGTAAGGTGAGACTGGTTCATAAGCAGGCTCAGTTCAACTCTCCCATCCCAGGGCTGGGAGGGACCCAGAGATTCCACACATACCACCGCTCACTCCATCTTTTGTGCAGTCCTCTCTAGAGCCCTCTGACAGGGCCCCATTCACACACCTCCAGTGATGGAGAGATCATTACCTCCCAAGGCTCCTCAATTCCATCTTGGGATGGTTCTGCCTGCTACAAATTCTTCCTTTTACCAAAAGGAAATGAGGCTCTCTGAGACTCTCTGCCCTTGTACTGCGGGGAACTAACTTTCTGGGGACCTAGGAGAAAACACTGAGAGGGGGAGATGTCCCAGGAAAGAGAGACAAGAAAAGGAGAGAAGGAAGACACTAAAACTGTCCTTCCCAATTTACAGTGTGGTGAGACCATTTCATATCCTTGCTCATAATTCTTACTCCTATCAGTCGAACATCATCTTGTCCATTGTGCCCTGGTATATGCTGAGATCCTTGTAAACCCAGCTCCTTCAGAAGACCCCAAATGCATTTTCTACGGTATCCTGTGCAAGAGAGCTGGTTGCTATGGTAACAACTGGATATAAATTTTCCAGAACCCCTAACTAAACTATTAATCAGAAAGATGAGGAAAGGGCCAGGGAAGTAAATAAATCAGTTAAAAAATAGGCTCCTACCAGGAAGGGCAGGGCCACCCCACCCCAGCTGGGGTGATAACTCATCCCTCCCTTTGATCCTTTGATGGGGAGGGAGGGGCAGCTGGAGCCCAAGGGGAGCGCTACCTCACTCCCCTTTCCAACTATTTTGTCCCCCATCCTTGCAAAGTCAGAGAGGCTTGATAGTGTAAGCCAGTGCCTGGTATCTCATCCATGGAGAATGAGAAGGGCCCCGTTAGCAGGAACATCAAAAGTAAAATGTTGGACCCTGAGAACAGTGTTCTGGCCAGCTTGAAAGAAGTGTTCTACTGAAGTGTGGTGATAAGATTGGGATTAGAGTCAGCACGGATGGGTAATAGAAGGATTAGAGTGATGAGGGTCACATTTTAACGAGAAGTTTATAGGATTTGTTTGGCTGGGTTTTTTCCAAGGACTTTATCTTACTTTCTTTAATGTTTATATTTGGCTGTCTTAATAAGGATTGGCATGGGAAGGCTTACTAGGCCTTCCTGAAGTGAAGGAGACCCACCTGCAATCTGGTAGGTCCCACTACAAAGTCTGACTCTGGGGATGGGAATGGGAGTGGGTGCTTGCTCTGATTACAGGAAACAAGGATGCTTTCCTGGTACACACAGAATCCTGCAAAAGGATCGTCCATGTGACCAAAAAAGGTTCTCAGGCCTCAAGCCTGGGAATGGTAGGCTCCACCTTGGACTGGACTGTGTCCCCTGTTGACCAGGCCTAGTGGTGGTCCCACCCCTGGTATAGGTTGGCAGGGGTAAGGCAAGTAAGCAAGGGAGGAGTGACTGAAGAATCAGCCCTGGCTCTCCTGCAAACTCACCCTGAGATCTTGGGCAAAGCCCTTCCTGTGTCTGGGCCTCAGTTCTCCAGGAAAGGTCTGGGCCAACTGAGGTCAAAGTCACCATGTAACTAGCAGTAATGGACCTTGATGCAAAGTCTAACACAGGACCATTTCCCCCTAACCCTTGCTTGTCCTTAAGGGGAAAAGTGAACTTCATCAAGAACGTCATCCTTGGGCAAGAGAAATGGAAGCAAGGGAGAGGAATCCCACCTCAAAAGCTACACTGGAAGAGATCTTACCAGAGAATACAGAGGGATGCCTCCAAGACTCCAACAGAGGGGTCCCTGATACCTCTTTGGTGCTCTCTCACGCTACATTTAAGGCTCTCAAGTGAGAAAAGAGGAAGGGAAAGGGATGAGAGGATGGAAGGGGGCTTTCCACTCTGAAGGCCGAGATTGAATTAAAACCTCAAAGAGAAAACTGAACGGCACCCCACCTCTCTCCCCTATGGAGCAAGTCTTCACCCCAGGAAAAGCACTGGCTACACAAAGCCACTTTGCCCACTGCCGCCTGTAAGCATCCTCAAAAAACTGTTTTAGGCTCATCAGAGTGGGGAGGCCTTGAAGGGAGCACTAAGACCCAGAGAGGGGAATGACAGACCCAAGGTCTCACAGTGAGAGGTGGGAGAAGCAGGACTCACAGCCAGGTTTCCTGTGCCTAGACCCATGCAGTTTCTACTGCCCTGGCCGAGTATCCTAACATTGTCTTCCTTGGGCTCTTGCTATAATGCATGCACATTCTGCAGTGAAAATGGCAAAGAGAGATCATGCAGGGATTGGTAATTTTTCACAATGGGTGGCACCGAAGCTTCCCTGTTCCCTGGAGGAGGGAAATGAAGGGTTGATTAAGTACTCGAAACATCCCTGCCTGTGGACCATTTAATAAGTGCCTCGTCCATCTCTCAGGCATTAAAACCGACATTTGGCTTGCTAATCCAATTTGGCAAGCCTCTCCAAGGCTGTGATTGCTGGCTGCTGGGCGCCATTTTGTTTGATGTGTTAGGAATCAATGCAAGCTCCCTGCACTTACTCTCACTACCACTTGATTAATTACAAATGAGACCTTTCCCTTTGCATTAATGTTCCAATACAGACAGAGCAACCCCCAATGGCCCAAGTAGCTCTGAGAATCTGGTGATGACCCAGCCAGTCATCTGATTCTCTCAACCTAATTCCCAGATCTAAATAAATCAGCAGAAAGCAGGTGTGGGGTCTGCAAAATCTCCCTGAACTTTGATCTCTGCTATGCTGTCCACTTAGCAAGAGGAAATCTATAAGCAGGAGCCACAGAAGAACATTCAGCATCTTACCTAAAAATTAATGAGATATGCTGTCATTTTGTTACAGTGTCCCTTATTTGAGTGCAGAATGAGTGCTCAGTATATCTCTTTCTCTCAGCAGACAAGATTTTTCTGAGTTAGTGGGGTTTCTTTTGCCTTGCCACCAGGAAGCTCAAAGCTAAATATAGTTCCATGGTTCTAGATGCAGGTGCTTTCCTGCACAGTCAGAGTGGTTTCTCACCTCATTTTATTTATTTATTTTTAAAGATTTTATTTATTTATTTGACAGAGAGAGAGAGATAGCGAGAGCAGGAACACAAGCAGGGGGAGTGGGAGAGGGAGAAGCAGGCTTCCCGCCGAG